ACCAAAACATTTCAAGTGGAGCCAAATCCGGCCAATCTGGTGGCAAATTGTGTTTTTTTTTGTAATTTCTTAGAAATAATTTACACCAACTTTTGTAAAATTTTCAGAGGATTGCAATTCCGCCAGCAGAATTTTTCTATGACTAATAGTTTCAAAAACCAAATTTAGTCATATTTGAAATAAATTAAAACCAAAAAACACTAAACCAAAACATTTCAAGTGGAGCCGAATCTGGCCAATCTAGTGGCAAATTGCGTTTTTTTTTTTGTAATTTGTCAAAAATAATTTGTAGCACTTTTTGTAAAGTTTTGAGAGAAGTGCGATTCTGTAGGAAGAAGTTTTCTACGACTAACAGTTCCCAAAATATTGACCAAAATCTGGCTTTTATATATTTTTTTCATTTTTGGAGGCCTAATTACATAAATCACAAAATTAAAGCCATATTTCAAATAAAAAAAGTAAAAATAGCAATTTGATGAGATTAAAGTGTCGCGCAAAACCAGAGGGTTTCAAAAGGACTCAAATCTGGTTAATTTATTGGCAAGGATACACTACTAGATTTTTCTTTGCAATTATAGAAGTAATAAACAAAAAACGATTGTTTAGCGTATTTTTTATCATTATTTTATAGATTTTTAATCTAAATTGTAAATTTTTTTGATAAATAAATAGATATGAATTTTATTTCTTCAAATTTACTTTTGCCTATTTTTTGTGTTTTAAAAGTTCCTAATTTTGTAATTTTTTTAAATGCAATTACAATTAGGGTGAAACCAAAAACAATTAAAACTTTTTTGTTTTTTTTTAACCTAAAAAAAGCACTGGTGATTCTGGTGGCAAACAATTTAAAAACAACGAATTTATTGATATTGTTTCACAGTAATTAATATCGTATTTTAAAAACTTTTTAAAAATTCTGAATCGGTAACCAAAATTTTTCCACTAACAAAATATCGGCCTTAATGTAAGTCCAAAATATTTTTTCTTAATGTTTTAGAAACTGCTATTTTAATCAGAAAAACCAAAATATCAAAACAGGGCCTTTAAATCGTCTTGAAACACTAAACTAAAGCATCTCACATGGACCCAAATCCGGCGAGACTAAAGGCCAACACTACATTTTTTTCAATTTGCAGTAAAATTTTGTCTTATCTGTTGTAAAATTTGACAAAAATTCTAACTATGTAATTAAAATTTTTCTACGACTAATAGTTCTCAAAATATTGGCTCAAATTTTTTTTGAAAGCTCAATTACAGTATAAATCAAAAAAATTGAGAACATATTCAAAATAAAAATTGTAAAAATAGCGACTTGGTGACATTAAAAAAAAAACAAACTTAAATCTGGTGTTTATTGGCAAAAATACACCACCAGTTTTTTCTTTGTGATTATAAAAGTAATAAACAAAAAATAATCATTTACCGTATTTTTATCAATATTTAATAAATTTTTAAATTAAATTTCGAAATTTTTGGATAAATAAATCGATATAAATTTTATTTTTACAAATTTAATTACGCCAATTTTATTTGGTTTTACAAATTTTTATTACATTGTTATTTTTTCAAATACAATTACAATTGTAGGAATAGAAAGTACAAAAAAATAATTAAAAATGTTTTAATATTTTTGAGAACCTAAAAGCACATGGACTTAGATCTGGCGATTCTGGTGGCAAGAAAATTTAAAACGACGAATTAATAATAATTTTTCCAGTAACAAAATATCAGCTTTAATGTAAGTCCCAAATATGTTTAGAATAAGAAAAACCGAAAAATCAAAACAGAGCCTTTAAGTCGTTTCCAAACATTAAACTAAAACATTTCACATAGACCCAAATCCGGCCAGACTAATGGCCAATACAAATTTTCTTGTCAATTTGATCTCATCTGTTGTAAAATTTTCCAAAAATTCCAACCATGTAATTAAAATTTTTCTACAACAAATATTTTCCAAGATCTTGACCAAAAATTTGATTATTTGTCATATTTAGAAAAATTGAAATAAAAATAGCAAAACGGTTCAGAAAACGCAAAACCAAGAAATTTCACATGTACCCAAATCCGGCAATTCCAGTGGCAATCACCGTTGTTTTCACAATTTCTACACAAAAATTAGTTTAGTCTTTAGTGAAATTTTCCGGAGATTCCGATTCTGTGATTGCAAATTTCCTCCGACTAACATTTCCCGAGATATCGTTACTTTTCCCTTCCAATT